TATATCCAGTATCCATCATCTCTATAGTGTTTTATCAATATGAGATTGGATTAAAGTAACACATACACCTCCTTAGGGAGATCAACGTACTTATTGGGGTTTGTCCCGCCATCATTTAAAAAATATGAGTTTTGCTTAAACTCACTTGAACGTTGAGTTTTGACCTGCCATTATTCAAGGTTGCAACGAAGCCAAGCCTACTTGATATTATCTGCTTGGGCCTAGATTCGCACAGTTTTAAAATGCATCATTAGGATTTAAAGCTTAATTTCTTATATATCCAATACCTCTTATGTATTTTATTGATGTGAGATTCGTCTAGGGTGACACACATATTATCATGGAATATCAATTAATAACAATGATAAGATCTACATTGAGAAGGTGAAATACTCCCAACTAGGGGTGTACATGGACCGGGTTGGTTCGATTTTAATCAAAATCAAACCAAACCAACTATATCGGTTTGGATTGGTTCGGTTTTGTCGGGTTTTTAGGATTTGTTTTTGTTACATGAATATTATTTCAATCTTACTTTATGAAATTTTTGATAAGTAAATATATGTTTAGTAAAATTTAAAAAATTGACAAATATATGATCTATTAACATATGATAGTTATTTTTTTAGTCGTGTGACAATAATTTTTCATTGATGTACACTTTCAACGTTAACTAAATTTAATAATTAAACATAAAAATCAATATGATACTTATATAATGATATGTTCTATTTAATTTTAAATTATCGAAATATCACTTTAAATTCGAAAAAGATATAAGAATTTAATAGATCTTGACATATGAATATGGAAGAACAAAGAGATAGACGTATTTCACTAATACTTGATAAGAAAGTGATCATACAACACATTATTTAAAGTTAATAAAAATAGAGCACTTCATATTTAACTAAATATTACATTCCACAATATATTAGGTGACGAGTATTCACGTGTCAAAAGATTGAGCCTAATTAATTTAAATAGGTAGGGACTACCATGTAACTTGTCTTTCATCACACGACCCATTCACATGGCTACTATGTGGTTTCAAAAAATTGATGTTATTGCCGATAAAAATTGAACTACACTAGAAGTAATCCAACTCTCACTTTCTTACAATTCTCGAATTGTTATAAGACGTTGACGCGACGAAGGGTAGGGGTGTCAATGAATATTTAAAAACCGACTAAATCAATTGAATTGTACCGCACTGAATCGATTTTTAGGTTTCTTTTAATAGACCGTAGATTTTTTTATATAAATCTACAACCACACCGATAATTAGGGTAGATTTTTTAGTTTATAAAAATAAATCAAAAGAATACCGAACTGTACCGAATAAATTTACTGTGAAAGATATATTTATATATTAAATTTAAAAATAATAATTTATTTTTTTTCTTGGGCCTTGGAATTATAAAAATAGGTACAAACCAACAAGTAATTAAAATCAAAATCCTAATTCCCAAACCTATTATGCTACTCCTACTGAAACTAAATTATTTTCAGCATATTTACTAGCAAGACACAAAGTATTCTAGCGATTATGAGTTTGATGATAGGCTAGACATTTGAATTTTTGGCTATTTTGTACCTATTATTTGATACACTTTAATTGTGTTTGAGATAAACTATAGATAATTTATACTCATTATGTGTTTTCTGTTGTGTAAGTTGAGATTTCGGGTATCAAAACGACCAGTTGGGTCATTACATCCTCCCCCACTTAAACATACATTCGTCCTCGAACGTGCCCATAGTCGTACCAAAGCCATCAAATCACTACATGAGCTCACCATACATACACCCGGGGGTGATTCCCCCATCACCCAAACCTAGGTAGGACTGACAACGCAATTTATCTGAGGATCTCGCTTCATCCTTGGTCCATAGCCTTAGGACAGAACCCAACCCTCAGGCCTCAACATATGAAACTCACCATAGGATCTGAATCTCACATCAATACACTGCATAAACATGATCAAGCTGAATCGAGCCACACTCCAACCCAAGGTATAATCACATGATGTTCCACACAACTCAAATGCCCGTAGCAATAACCTCTGACCACCATAGCTACCCAAATAACATTCTGGATGTCGGCAATACACTTCACATTGAATAGAACCTTGTTCCGGACCTCCACAATGCTGCACATGATAAAGAAACATGCGGGAACTCATAACCGCCCATAAAGTCAACAAGTCAAGAAGCTCTCTCGTCAGTCAAGGGCCATTGCCCAAATCTTAGCGGAAATAGCCTCATACTTCCAAACACTCCTCACCCCCAATATGATAGTGTGAACCTCAGGTCTAAAAACCTCATCTCAGCCAATACAAGCAGCCCAACTAACAACTCATCACGGAACCACACGGATTCTCACACCACATGGTGCGTACACCCAACCATCAATAACTCAGTTATGCCGTACAAATAGAAGAAAATCAAGGTATGGGGATTATCTAACAAGTGCAATAGGTGTAACAACAAAAGTACGATTTCATTAAATCATCCCACAGAGGGAAAATAAAACACCAAATAAACACAAGGAAAGGGAATTCCACATAACATCCGTTGCGACGTGCATCCCGGTCCCAGATACTCATCAAGCCAAAGTTCTCGGGTTCACTGATCACATGAATACTGATATCAAGCACAGTAGAGTGCACAAGTATTACTGTGGAAAAATGAATAGAAATAATAAAACATGGAAGAAAGCAAGCACAACTAAGGTGCAATGAGTAAATCAACATCACGAGGGCCATCTTGCCCACATGACCATAAGACCTGAACGAAATTACGACATGCGTGAAGAATAATCATACAACCTCATAGCCTATCACAGCATAAGAGAGTAGCACATAACATAGGCCAGGGGCACAAATAGTATCCATTCTGCCCGGTAACATAACTGTGATATCAACTTCACAAGAGTACCCAAACCTAATCCGATATAAAGTACACATTCTCGTTGAGCTTTCAAATAGCCCCCAAACCAAATCATGATCCTTCCCAAATAGGTAAATATCCTTCCAAAAGTCTATAGCAACCTATCGATAATGTATGCTATCAGTTATCCCATTCTCAACATTTCTTCACAATCCGCAAACAAGAAACAGTCCGCATATGAGGACATCCAGCCCCAAAACCTCATGAATACCAAAATTTCCATACCCGAACTCAACTACGCTACTCGAATGGTTGATACATCATTCACACCTCATCATCTTACTGAAGCACCCATATAGATTTTCCGGCCGCGTAACAAAACCTGAACTTCAGAAGTCTCAAAACCCAGTAATCACCGTACCACTAGCCAAGCATATGCGAACAAAAACATAAAGTTCCTTCCTAAAATGCACGCTCTTCACATGTGATATCCAATAATACCAACATTCTATTAACTTCTAATATCCATCCAGGAGAAAACCATAATGTACAACATATTCCTTATGCCCGTAGCGGACAATCGACTCAAGTCGTGGCTAACACCATCGAGAACTCTCCGAGACCCGCCCGCATGCAACTAAACCATCAGGACCGCATCTCCCCAACTCAATCGAGCCACACAAATCGTCCAACCCAAGAGTACTGCCACAAATGCCGGTAGAGAATTCTCATTCAAAAGGAACAATTACTTCCATTGTTATGCTGACCCAACACCACAGAGCTGACCCATTTCTTCGGTTACTCCTTGTCTTTCCTCTGGGGTAATACTTCTCCCTGTCGATACGCAACGATACCAATCAAAACCCAAATGCAGATAATCCTAGCATGAACCATGTATCCCAGAAGCTCATAAACCACTGCATTTCCTCTGAAGTACCCCATAATGCCGCAACCAAAATGCCCACGCTGAATAGACCTTCTGTGAATCTGGAGTTATTTCTCCGACCCCCCTTGATACTGAAATATAGATCCATTAATGACGCAAAAATACCGTAAGCCCCAACATCATCCCATGCAAGATCTCAGGTCTTAATCATATATAAATTTTGGGGAAACTTCCAATACCATATATATACATATCTCAGGCCAAAACTGATATAACACCTGACTCTGCAATCTGCATACCGCTAGTGGACTCCCCAACTTGGAGCGAAGCCATAGAAAACAACATCTGATGATCCGCAAAACTAACCTTCACAGCTCGTACATCACCAATCACAATGTACTCCAAGTCATCTACTAAGCGCACGTCAATTCGCGTGACAGTCAAACTCGTTTCCTTCAGTGCCTTGAATGATAATGTGTACCTTCCACTGAGCAGGAACTCCACACGAACCACATAGCCTCTAATACCACCAACTATCCTCAATCAACAACCACCTCGTGACCCCATACGATCGCGATGACTCATCAACCAATCAAACCTTCCCAAGCTCGTACTTATTAATCCGACGCCAGAACCTGCTGCACCCTTATGTGAACAACAGAATAGTACTTCAATACCTCCTCATTTTCAATCTGGGCGACACATTGAGACAATGTTTGAGCATCCCTGGCTCCCTTGTAGCCCATCGCATCACAAACCACTGGCGCATAGCAAATACTAAGAGCACGATATTATACACGAGTGGATGTAAAGGAACATAAGATATATGCTTCAAGCTGAATCGATTTCGCACGACAAGGAATGAAAGAAGTGGAATTTCCTAACAGTTTCCATAGCCTCTCAAAGATAAGTACAGACATATCCGTACCGATCCGCAAGACTCTACTAAACCTGCTTATGACTCGTAGCACCTATGAACCTAGAGCTCTGATACCAACTTGTCACAACCCAAAATCCCTCCAAAGGAGTCGTGATGGAACCTAGTATCTAAAACTAGGTAAGTCTAACATTAACTGAAATAACGACAATGTTTACTAACATCGAACAATTTCGAAATAAAAAAATCTCTACACAATTTATGTCACGACCCAAATACCAAATCAGTCGTGATGGCGCCTATCGTGGAACTAGGCAAGCCGACATTCTCAATATGCTTTCAATATATAACAGAAGTGAGCTAAAGAAATTAAACTAACTGAAGGTTTACACAATAACCGGGAAAACCCCCAAAACATAAGTGCGGAATGATAGCCCGACATCGAGGTATCCCTAAGTCATGTGTATCTAATAACCAATATAGAAACAGAGTCTACTACAGTCTGTGCCAAATGCCAATACAAGAGAGAAAAGATAATAAGAAAGGAGAAACAAGGATTGCGGACGCCGGCAGCTACCTCGTAAGTCTCCGATAATCAGCACACGCACGAACTCAGCGACCGCCAGAACCGTACACACCTGGATCTGCACATGAAGTAAATGGTGTAGCATGAGTACAACCAACTCAGCAAGTAACAGAATTAAATAAGGAACTGAGAAACAGTGACGAACTATAATAATACAGATCATTTCAAAAGTTTTCAGTAAAGAGTGAACATATTTTCAAATTCGGTGGTATAAGTCAAATCAGTTCGAGCTCAAGTAAAACAGATATGAATCTTCCAGAAATTTTACAACAACATCAGATAGCAACTAAGTGCAATAATAAATAAAAGCAAGTACAACCTCTCAAGGAAGCAGTCACTCAACTCATCTCAACAGCTCATACTCTCGGCTCTCGGCCCTCAATACACACTCTCAATAGGTATATGCGCTCATTGAGGGTGTATAGACTCCGAAGGGGCTCCTTCAGCCCAAGCGCTATATTACTACGATGCGCAGCCCAATCCAATATTATTGCGGCATGCAACCCGGTCCAATATTGTTGCGGCGTGAAACCCGATCCAATATTATTGCGGCGTGCAACCCGATCCATATACTTCACAGCTCGCAGCTCGGCACTCAAGCCCTATCTCAGTCACTAACCTCTCCAGCCCCTCGGGCTCACAAAATATCATAATAACCAGTCCAAGCAGAGAATACAATAAGTATCAACATGAAATGAGAGGAAACAGAGATATAACACACAAGTAAGACTGACTGGGTACAAGACAACAATTAGCAGTCAATTCAACAAGTATACGACCGCTGCGGGTCCCAAAAGTGATATCATATGGCCTAAGCATGGTTTCAAACATGAAAGGCAGTCAATTGCTCAAACACAAGGAAAACAAGTAATAACAATGGCTATTCGACTTTATACTCTAACGGGACGGACCAAGTCACAATCCCTCACGGTGCACGCTCGCACACTCGTCACCTAGCATGTGCGTGACCTCCAAATATTCACATTATACCAATTCTCGGGGTTTCATACCCTCAAAACCAGATTTAAGACTGTTACTTACTTCAACCGCACAGAAATCCTACTCCGAAATGCCTTTGCCTCTCGAATCGGCCTCCAAATGCCCTGAATCTAGCCACAAATAGTACGAGATAATAAATATTGGTTAAAAGGATCAATTACACGAGAAAACTACTAAAATATAGCCCAAAATTCAAAATCGACTCAATCGGGCCCACGTCTCGAAACCTAATGAAAGTCACAAAACCCGAGAGCTCATTCACTCATGAGTCTAACCATACCAAATTTATCAAAATCTGACCTCAATTGCCCCTCCAAAACCCCAAAAGTCACTCTCCAATTCCCAAGCCCTAATGTCCCAAATCTCACCTCAAACACTCACCAACTAGGTGAAAAATCAGTAGGGAAACACCATTATTGAAGATAAATAGGCACAAGGAACTTACCTCAGTGATTACTCCGAAATCTCTCTCAAAATCCCCAAATTTCGAGCTCAAAAATGATGAAAATGGTGAAAAATCTCAAAGTGTTGTATTTATAGGTTCTGCCCAGACTTCTCGCACCTGCGGCTCCATTTCCACATCTGCGGAGCCGCATCTGCGGGCAAGGCCACGCTTCTGTGGAAAAATCCCTACACATTGCCTCCGCTCCTACGGTCAAGTGACCGCATCTGCGCTCTTCGCGGGTGCGGGAACTACATCGCATATGCGGTCCAAACTCGCACATGCGCCCCTAAATCTGCTTTTACGGCCATCGCATGTGCGGGAATTTCATCGCACATGCGTCCTTTTCCCAGATCCTCCTTAGCCGCATATGCGGCTCCTCCTTCGCTACTACGGGCTCACACCTGTGGTTCCCACTCCGCAGGTGCGGTTACACCAGTAGCAGCAGCTTCAGCTGCAATTCCTCAACTCCCATCAAGCCGTTAACCACCCGAAATAAACCTGAGGCCTCCGGGACCTCAACCAATCATACCAACAAGTTATATAACCCTATGCGAACTTAGTCGAACCTTTGAATCACTCAAGACAACATCAAAACACCAATTACACCTGGATTCAAGCCTGAAGAACTTTTAAACTTTAAAATTCCACAAATAACGCCGAAACCTAGGGGTGGGCATTCGGTATTTCGGTTCGGTATTTATGAATTTCGGTTCGGTATTTCGGTATTCGATTTATCAATTGTGTATACCAAATACTGTACCAAATTATTTCGGTACGGTTCGGTATTTCTTATTTTGGTTCGGTACGGTTTCGATTTAATAATCGCTAAATAAGCAAAACTAATGATTAAGGACTAAGGAGTGCAACAGTGCATAATTCAAACTAACTTGGTTAGCCCTCTTTGACAACGTTGTCGCTAACAGTAAGTAGTTAAGCACCATTATTTTCTTTGACAATTCACAATTCTAAGGAGTGCAGCTGACGCCTGCAGATTCTGCATCTTCTAATTACTCAAGCAATTGCAGTGTTTCAACATCTAGACATGGCTCTTTTATATTCAATTCTGCAGATTCTACAGCTTCTAGTTTTAAGGGAATAAAAGTTGAACTAAGAGCACACAAGCTGTTCCAGAACTTCCACGTAAGATCATAGCGAATGAAAAGAATTTCCAAGTTCCAAATGTGCAATCATACTAAAGTATATAAGAAAGTTGTTAAGACCAGTACACGGGAAATACATAGAGTTGAAGTTACAGGAGAAAATTCAGACCATGTGACTTTTATATTACAAGGCTATAAACATTATGTTTTACTATGACATTTAACTATTTAAGTTATTAAATTGTTCGTCTCAATCAGAATAGTATGCAGTAAAGGGCGAGGCTCAGGCTGCTTCATGGAGGTCTTAAGCCTTCACAAATCATTATATACAATCACTTTCTTGGGTACTATTAAGACGCTAGTAATTACATATATACATTTATCAGCAAAAAGAAAACAAAAACTAGGAACAAGATGCCAACATACTATTAGTAACAGTTGAGCCACATCCACCATTATCAACTTCAGGCGAACAATTTCACCAACATAAGATAAGAACACTATGAAGTATTTTAGTCTCAACAGATATGTGACCTATATTGCAATCAAGCTCTGAGCAAACCAAAATTCATAAGCAGATAATACCTCTTTGAGGTCACTGCCAAATTCTTTGACAGTAGATATAGCCACAGTGGCAGCTTCATCAACAGGATATCTGTAAAGCACAAAAAAATGAAGATTAAGCAGGGGTAACCATCCATAACTTCTAAGATTATATATTGTTAGTATTCTCACAGCAAAGGTCTTCTCGCTGAAAGAAACTATCGTCGTTTCTGACGTTCTGTCTTTCTCCCTTTCTAAATTCTAATTCCCTAATCGGCTAATCCCTAATTGAACGAATCAGATAAGTGAAAGATTAGAAAGTAGGGCCTTATTGGATTGGGCTGGGGCGCTGGGCAATGGGCATTAGATATAACACTTGGGCTGGGCACTATAGCTATAGATCCAACTTAAAATTCGGTATTTTGGTATATCGAAATTTTAAGATCCTAATATCGAGGACCGTACCGATATACCAAAATACCGAAAATGTAATACCGAATTAGATCGAAATACCAAAAAAATAGAAACCAAAATACCGAATTAATTCGGTCCGGTTCAGAATTTTGTTTTTTAGATTTTATGCCCACCCCTTCCGAAACCTACCAAACCACGCCCGATTGACCTCAAATTTTACACACAAGTCCAAAATGACACCACGAACCTATTCCAACTTCCGGAAATCCAATCCGACCCCGATATCAAAATTTTTATTGTCGGCCAAAATTGCTAAAATTCTAACTTTTGTCAATTCAAGCCTAATTCTACTACGGACCTCCAAATCATATTTTGGACGAGCTCCTAAGTCCAAAATCACCTAACGGGGCTAATAGAACCATAAAAATTCAAATCCGAGGTCGTTTTCCCACAAGTCAACATTCGGTCGACTTTTCCAACTTAAGCTTCCAATTAAGAGACTAAGTGTCTCAATTCACTACAAAACCACTCCGAACCCGAACCAACCAACCCGGTAAGACATAATACAGCTGTAAAGCACAAAAGAAGCAGAAATAGGGGAAACATGGCTATAACTCTCGAAACGACCGACCGGTCGTTACATCCTCCCCCTCTTAAACAAGCATACGTCCTCGAACGGGTATAGAAACATACCTGGAGTCTCAAATAGGTGTGGATACCTGCTTCACATCTCCCGCTCGGTCTCCCAAGTGGCCTCCTCCACAGGCTGACCTCTCCATTTCACCTTCACTGAAGCTATATCCTTTGACCTCAACTTCCGAACCTGCCGCTCCAAAATGGCCACCGGCTCCATATCATAAGTCATATCACTATCCAACTGAACCGTGCTGAAATCCAAAACATGGGACGGATTGCCGATATACTTTCGGAGCATAGAAACATGAAATACTGGATGCACACTCGACAAGCTAGGCGGCAAGGCAAGCTTGTAAGCCACATCCCCGATCCTCTGAAGTACCTCAAAAGGCCCAATGAACCGAGGGCTCAACTTTACCCTCTTCCCAAACCTCATAACACCCTTCATGGGTGTTACCTTCAGCAGAACCTTCTCCCCAACCATAAAAGACACATCACGGACCTTCCTGTCAGCATAGCTCTTCTGCCTAGATTGCGCTGTGCGAAGCCGCTCCTGAATCAATTTCACCTTGTCCAATGCATCCTGGACCAAGTCTGTACCCAAGAGCCTAGCCTCACCCAGCTCAAACTATCCCACCAGAGATCTACACCACCTCCCATATAAAGCCTCGTACGGAGCCATCTGAATGCTCGACTGATAACTATTGTTATATGAAAACTCCGCTAGCGGCAGAAACGGGTCTCATGAACCCCCAAAATCAATGACACAAGTGCGTAACATTTCCTCCAATATCTTGATAGTACGCTCGTACTGTCCGTCCGTCTGAAGGTGAAAGGTTGTGCTCAACTCAACCTGAGTACCCAACTCTCGTTGCACAGCCCTCCAAAACTGCGATGTAAATTGTGTGCCTCTATCTGAAATGATAAAAACTGGGACACCATGAAGGCGAACAATCTCGCGGATGTAAATCTCAGCCAACCTCTCTGAAGAGTAAGTAGTACCAACTGGAATGAAGTGCTCGGACTTGGTCAGTCGATCCATAATTACCCAAATAGCATCGAACTTCCTCGAAGTCCGTGGGAGCCCAACTACAAAATCCATGGTGATCCACTTCCACTATGGGATCTCTAACCTCTGAAGCAAGCCACCCGGTCTCTGATTCTCATAATTAACCTACTGACAGTTGAGACACCGAGCCATAAACCCAACTATATCCTTCTTCATCCTCCTCCACCAATAGTGTTATCTCAAATCCTGGTACATCTTCGCGACACCCAGATGAATGGAATACCGCGAGCTGTGGGCCTCCTCAAGAATCAACTCCCGAAGCCCATCCACATTGGGCACACATATCCGAACCTGCATCCTCAACACACCATCATCACCAATAGTCACATCTCTAGCATCACCTCGCCGAACCCTATCCTGGAGGACGAGCAAATGGGGGTCATCATATTGACGCTCCCTGATACGATCATAAAGAGAAGACCTAGAGACCACACAAGCTAATATCCGACTCGGCTCCTAAATATCCAATCTGACAAGCTGGCTAGCTAAGGCCTGAACATCCAATGCCAAAGGTCTCTCTGTTGCTGGAAGATACGGTAAACTCCTCAAACTCTCCGCCCGGCGACTCAAGGCATCGGCCACTACATTGGCCTTCCCGGGATGGTACAGAATGGTGTTATCATAGTCCTTGAGAAGCTCCAACCACCTCCATTGATGCAAGTTAAGATCCTTCTGCTTGAACAGATACTGCAAACTCCGGTAATCAGTGTAGATCTCACAATGAACCCCATACAGATAGTGCTGCCAAATCTTCAAGGCGTGAACAATAGATGCTAACTCAAGATCATGGACAAGATAGTTCTTCTCATGGGTCTTCAACTAGCGCGAAGCATAAGCAATCACTCTACCCTCCTGCGTCAGAACACATCCAATACCTATCCGCGAGGCATCACAATACACTGTGTGCGAACCAGAAGCTGATAGTAGAACTAGAACTGGGGTCGTGATCAAAGCATTCTTGAGTCTTTTGAAAACTCTCCTCGCTCTCATCTGACCACTTGAATGGAGCACCCTTTTGGGTCAATTTGGTCAAGGGCAATGCAATAGATGAAAAACCCTCCACAAAATGACGGTAATAGCCCGCCAAACCAAGAAAGCTCCTAATCTCCATGGCTGAGGATGGTTTGGGCCAACTCTGCACCGCTTCTATCTTCTTTGGATCCACCTGAATACCCTCGCTGGACACCACATGCCCCAAGAATGCCACTGAACCGAGCCAAAACTCACACTTGGAGAACTTTGCATAAAGCTTCTCCTCCCTCAATCTCTGTAACACAATCCTCAGATGCTGGCCATGCTCCTCCTGGCTACGAGAGTACACCAGGATATTATCAATGAATACAATAACAAACGAGTCCAAATAGGGCTGAAACACACTGTTCATCAAATGCATGAACGTTGATGGGGCGTTAGTCAGCCCAAAAGACATCATGAGAAACTCATAATGGCCATATTGGGTCATGAAAGTTGTCTTAAGAATATCCGAATCCTGAATCTTCAACTGGTGATACCCCAACCTCAAATTAATCTTGAAGAACACCCTCGCCCCCTGAAGCTGGTCAAATAGATCATCAATACGTGGCAAAGGATACTTGTTCTTGACTGTGACCTTGTTCAACTACCTGTAGTCAATGCACATCCTCAAAGAACTATCTTTCTTCTTTACAAATAGAACCGGTGCACCCAAGGTGACACGCTAGGCCGAATAAACCCCTTATCAAGGAGTTCCTGAAGTTGTCCCTTCAACTCCTTCAACTCCGTCGATGTCAGGCAGGTACCAAATCAATACCGAAGTCAATATACCTGTCAGGTGACATGCCCGACAGGTCTGCAGGAAACACATCCGGAAAATCACGTACCACCGGAACAGAATCAATGGTAGGAGTCTCTACACTAACATTCCTCACAAAAGCCAAATAGGATAGACAACCCTTCTCAACCATCCGCTGAGCCTTCAAGTATGAAATCACTCTACTGGGAACATAGTCTATAGAACCGCTCCACTCAACTCTCGGCAACCCCGGCATTGCTAACGTCACAGTCTTATCATGACAATCTAGAACACTATGACATGGAGATAACAAATTCATACCCAATATCACATAAAAATCGACCATACTGAGCAGTAAAAGATCCACTCTGGTCTCCAGACCCCCAATAATCACCACACATGACCGATATACGCGGTCCACAATAATAATATCACCCACAGGAGTAGATACATAAAGAGATGAAACTAAAGACTCACAGGGCATATCCAAAAAATGAGCGAAATACGAGAAAATATATGAATAAGTGGAACCAGGGTCAAATAATACAGAGGCATCTCTGTGGAAAACTGAGACAATACCTATAATCACAGTATCTGAAGTAATGGCATCTGGTCTGGCAAGGAGGGCATAGAAACGGGCATGGCCACCCCCTGATCTGCCTCCCCCTATCTGACTGGGCTCCACCCCGGGCTGGCTGAGCGAGTGGTGGAGGAGCTGGTGCTACTGATATATATTGGCTCCTCTGCGGAACAGGACCTCCCACTATACGGTGACACTCTCTCCTCATGTGACCAAACTCCCCACACTCATAGCAACTCCCCGGTGCTGGTGCATGGGACTAAAGGGAGCCCCGAGCACTAGGATAACTAGTAGAAGGACCTAGCATAGACGAACCTTGACCCGATGGAGCACGGGACGAACTCTGCGCTGGGAGGGCACCGAGAGATGAATGACCTTGCTGATAGCTATGAGAACCATGGCCAGTTGATGCACCATGGTGAACTGGACGAACCGTCTGAGCATGTCTGAAAGGACGTCCTCTACCGTGATGAAACTGACCCCCAGAAGGAGCACCGCTAAATCCTCTCTGTCCACGAGGTCTCTTGGCCTCCCTCTCAACCCTCTCCTGACTGCGAACCATCTCTATCCGACGAGCAATGTCGACAACCTCATCAAAGGTAGCACCAGACAATCTCTCTCTGGTTATAAGCAATCGCAGCTGATAAGTAAGGCCATCTATAAACCTCCTAATCCTCTCCCTGTATGTGGGAACCAACCAGATAGCATGACAGGACAACTCCGAGAATCGCATCTCATATTGTGTCACAGACATATCACCCTGACGAAGCTTCTCAAACTACCTGCGCATCTCCTATCTGCGGGACTGA